TTTCTTCTATGCTTTGGTGTAAAAAGAGATTTTATTAGTCCACTATTTTGACAATTTTTTTTGAGTGCAACTCCTACTTGAAAAGTACTGATATTATGGGAACTTCTCCATAAGCAGAGTGTTGCAATGCTATACTTTTAAATAAATTTTGTGAAAATAATCAACCACCCTAAGTAGGATCAAGTTATATAACCAACTCTTTAAAATGAGAAAGTCAATTTCAGAAAACCTTGAGAGATTTCACACATTTTAGGATCTAAATTTTCTGATAGGTTATTCTCATTTTCAAAAATTTATGTTAATTGATGAACTTGTGACCCAAGGTGCTTATGTCTTTTCTAGCCTGTGCACCACTTAAATAGAGACCGCAGACTGCCACTAAGCTATTCATCATAAATTTATCACAAAGCATACATACAAGTACTATTTTTGCGTCCTGATGCTGACATGGGCTGTTGGCGCAGTGGTGGTGGGGTTTTCACTGATCTCAGAAGTGAGGAAGCTGTGTGTAATTGTCGCTGTGGGGTAGAAATAGCATCGTCTAACAGATGGAGTGCTAATGTAAGGATTAAGGAAACTTGAATTCCCTTGCAATTGTTTCAACGATTTAACTTTACACACATAACAGGAAGTGGAACAGTGAAGCTAGAGTAACTGTCCAAAATAGTGCTTGCTTTTTAATATTAGACAAAAATCCAAAATTGGAGTTACTGCCATCTTATCTAATAAAACTTGGAAGTGCTTGCCATGGTCGAATTTGCAACTTGCCTTATGAATCAAGCAACAATAATAAAAGGAAAAATGAAAAAAGTCTTCTTAGTAATGAAATTTTCCATAGGTTTCTCAGTTCTACCCTAGCATCAATCCAATAGACCTTTTCAGCTTCATATGTCATAGATTTGTCACATGGTCTGAACTTGGTAAACAACAGTCAATGCTATAGCAAATTAACTGTAAAGTGTAGAGAATAGTTCACTTTTGTTGCATTTGTAACAACATTCCCACAAATTTGGATTTGTCTTTTCATGAATACCTTGAGGATTCTAAGCTTCAGAAGTTAAGTACCCATGCCATATTTCCTCAACCTCTAGTCACATAAATGTTTTAAACTGCATGAGTAAATGGTCAGAAACTAGGAAAAAAATTTAACTTCATCTTGATTTCTTAGTGTTCTGGTTTTTTTCAGTTTCTTCTAAAAAAGATATGGATTTTTAGAATAAAATGAGATCAAAATAAAGACTTGAATGACATTTGGTACCAAAGTGTGCTCAGAACATTTCAAAGACAACTGAACTAGGAGATTGAAGCAGATGACATCTTTGTTTCCAGCATGATGATGTTAGGCATGATTGTCATAGTTCACGAAAATTCAGGCCAAAATGAGTTACTTCAATGCATGGAAAAAAATCAGGGAATTTCAGAGAAAATTTACATCTTTGAAGAAGGCTGGGAAAAGTGAAATTTCAAGTAAATATGAAGTTGTTTATCTTGTCTTGGTCCTCTTTGCGATGACAGAAGTTGATCATGTACATTGTTCACAACAGTTGACAGATTCATGACAAGCATACTCTTCCCTTTGTAATGCAAGTTGACGTTGGAATGAAATTATGGATAAACACTAACACCGCTAAGACGTTAACAAACTTGTGCATGCGTGACTAACGTGCACATACTTTGGGATTATGTACTTTGATAATATTGTAAGCAAATCACGCAGACCTTTTTATTTTTGACATGTGCAATTTTCTTATAGAAGAGTTGAAAGTTTTTTAGTTTATCAAGTGGTGGTTTGTTTAACGGTTGTTGTCGTTTACCGTGAGTTTGCAGTTTTCTGTGTTTGTTTTGGTTTTCCATTTCACTTCCGCACAAACGCCAAGCGCAAACTGAGTGTTATACACAAAAGTTAGAAATCTCCTCAGATCACTTGGCAGTTCCTTGTCAATATATAATTAGTTTGGATTGCAATGGTTGTCTCAGTTTCTTAAATCTTTTGAAAAATTTTTGACTGCCAGTCATATAGTTTTTAAGAACCACGACCAGCAGTCGACCTCACGCAATAATAAATTATTTCTGTATGTCAACATGTGCAACATCCATGTATCTGTACTCTGAGCCCTGTGTTACACATGACTGAGCGTTAGACATGAGATTTATATATCACATTGGGATCACTTGGTAGTTCCTCACTGACACAGAATTTGGATCATGTAGGTTCTCTCAATTTATTAAATTTTCAGAAAAATATCATTCAGTCATTCGAGAAGGTTGTTGATACAGTACCAATTTCTATATTTACTTACCATAAAAACCCACAGATAAGCTGCACCTTTTTTCCAAAAATTGTTGCTAGAAATCGGGGGTGCGGCCTACCTGCTAGAACATTTGAAAAAGGTGTCCATTTTCACTTCCGATCTAATGCCTGGTTACAAGGCTTTGAATGATCCACTCGAGTTCTTGTTGCATTGTAAAAAATCTATGGAAAAACTGTGTTGAATGAAGAAATTCCTGTCAAAAATTTCCAGAAAAAGATCAATCATATGTCAGAGTTGGTAGAAACGATGTTCATTCTATTAACGTGCTAAAATTGTGGGCAAGACTTTGAAGTATTTTCCATTGCAATGTTAATAGCGAGTTTACGTTCCATGAACAGTGGATGAAGAAGACTTCTCAAGACTCACCTTTAGATTTTTTTTTCATTTCTCTCAAAAAACTTTTTTTTCCAAAATTTGAGCTGCTAAACTCAGGGTGCAGCTTATCTGTGGGTTTTTACAGAACTTCTGTCAGTCATCTTAGTGCTAATTTATCTGTGGATATGAATATTTGGTGAGTGGAGAAAGAATTTCATCCATCAGATGTTGTCTGCAGCACATACTTAAGCAGCTGTTTTGAATTCTTGTTTACCCATTTCAAACCTTGTGACCAAATAGCTAGTCTTTTAGGTACATGTATATAAGAATGTTAAAACTTCATATATTCATTGTACCAAATGTTAAAATTATTATGTCACTTATCATTTATGCAAAAGGATACATTTCTGAATATGGCTTCTTCGTTTTAATGCACTGTTTACATCATCCTTTAAGTAAACATTTGAGCAAAAGTAACTTCAACTTTTCAGGGATTTTTGAGGAAAACTGGCATTGAGCAAAATTTGCAACAAATTGAAGAATATTAAGGCACTTTTTGTTTTGCTGTAAATATTGACAAGTACTAAAATTTTGAGGGAAGTTTTTTTCCCCTGAAGGTACAGGATGAGCTTTCCACAGAGTAGAAAAGGTCCTCTGAAGCATTAAAACATAGAATAGCTCACCAGCAAAGCAGCTACACTGTATACTAGGAAACTCAATAAAAAAATTGAGAAAGGAAGAACCAAGGATCAAGGTTGATGGAACAAAAAATTCTGTTCCACAAAGAAATAAATTTTCCTGAGATATTTTAATCACTGCTGTTCCTTTTCTTCTACAGCACTGACAAAACCTTGAAAAGTATTTGATAACCGATCATGATTTTATTTTAAGAAAACACTTCAATCAGGTAGACTACCAAAACTGATTTTATGACTTCACTTGTGTTAATTTTGCACAATACTAGGCAATTTTTTTGAGGTAAGAACAGCATTAAAAGGGAATAAGATTCTCCATACAACAGATACCTCTCTGGCTTTTGTCACTTCTGCTGGCATAAGACTACACTTCTGTTTCAGGCCTGATCTGTTTGGACATGAATACAAGAATATTATTGTGGTGTTGATTGTAAATTGAACCCAAATTTAGTGTTTATTATATATTGCTAACTTGTGTAGAACTCAGTGTTATTGCTATTCATTATATAATGTTATGTTATTAAACATTAAACATACTTTATTTATTCCAGAAGCAGACTATATATACACTAAAAAGGAAAGGGAAAAAGATGCTTCTAGAAAAGGAAGTTAAGAGGTTATCCCTATTTGAAAACTCCCTAAAAAATAAGTCTAAATGAAATTAAAATACTTAGTTACAATTAAATATTTAGGTACAATTTAAGCTGAGATTTAAAATGCTGAAGAGTATCAGCTTCCACTATGTTTCTTGGTAATTCATCCATAATTTAACAATCCTAATGAAAAACGAATGTTTATAACAATTAAGTCTTGCCGATTTGACGTAAAGTTTGTACTGATGATTTGCTCTCATACATCTAGTTGAAGCGAAATCAAAAAAGCCTTCACATTCTAAATGGTAAAAACCAAAAACAATTTTATAACACTCAACTAAAGATAAATAAGTTCTATGGTCAGAAAGAGTAGGTCATTTTAGCAATTCGCATCAGTCTTCATAGGACATGTCTCCTTTGCGTTGATTTAAAGCAAGTCTTGAAGCTCCTCGCTGTACATTCTCAAGAGCATGGATGTCCTTAGCAGTATAATTATGTTCAGCTGTCCACACAATTCAAGTTAGACCAAGTTAGTGGTTGTGCATCATAGCCATCACAGTTTTCTTTCACTTTCATCTTATTAATATTGTTCTTTATTTTTAAAACACAACAATCATGACTTCCATTGTAACCATACCATACAAGGTTAATGAACTAGGAGAGTTTACAATTATCTTTCTTTACAAGACATCCAACTCCATCACTTAGTGTTGCCACCTAAAAGAACCATGAAAACTAGTGGATAAGCCCCACCATTTCCCACAAATCTTTTGTAATAAAACAGTGGTGCTACAACATGCAGGAACATTCTAAAAACATGCCACAAATTTGGACAATTAAAGTCATTCCTTGGAAATGTATGCTCCTAAGAGCTGTTTTTGTTAATAAGAACAAGTTTAGATTTCTTGCAGTTAAATCTTCTTCATTGACCCTTTGACACCTAATAGTGAGTTGCATGTAGTTTATCCTTTCAAAATCACCATTGAATCAAACACTAATGACATGAGAAAACATGAAATGATTGCCAGTGAAAAAGACCTTTGCTATCTATTGTAATGCAATGAAAATTAGTGTCTCCAAAGCTACTTAGGTCCAGTACCCCTTTTTCTGATCAATTGCCTAGTAAGATATAAACAACCCAAATAATGAAATAACTAAAGATTTCCTGTTGTTTTATGTCAAATTCTATTAAAAATCTGACAGGAATGAAAAAAAAAAAATACTGGTTAAACAATACCAGAGTAGTTCAAACATCTGTGACCTCCATAGTGTTACAGCTAAAATTCTAAGTAGGGATTCAGAGCATTCTCCATTTTCGAAGTTAATGAATTTACAAGGGTATACGATTGATGAAGCAACCAATATAAAGCAACTTTCTCAAGACTCCTTTTGATTTCTCTTAAAAAGCTTTTTCCACAATGTGAGTGGCCAAATTCTGGATGTGGCTTACCTGCCATGTTTACAGTACTTAAAAATTAATTGCAATTATTGAGAAGTCACCCCTTGAAGACCAAGGATGTCCTGATTTTTCATGGTGCAGTTAATCAACAAGATATATAGAAAGACCTCGGCTAAGAACGAAGACTATGGGAGATCGCGCGTTTTCAATATCTGCTCCCTTCTTATGGAACAGTCTTCCTCTGCCAATAAGACAGGAAACATCAATCAACTCCTTCAAACACTCGGTTAAAACATATTTAATTAAAAAGGCTTTTAGTTGGATTATTTATTCATTTAATTTAATATTGTGATTTTTAAAAAAATTCTATGTTTTACTAATTACTCTGGAAATTTTTACTGTAAATATTGTAATTTTACTGGGTTTAATAATAATATTGTAATGCACTTTTGAGTATTTTTATAGAAAAAGCGCAATATAAGTATTAAATATTATTATTATTATTATTATTATATATTGCTCCAAAAATGGACCCCTCTGTGAGCTTGCTCACAAAAAAGACAGACTACTGACATTAATTTTATCTCAAGACTAAGAAATGAAGCCTTTACACACTAACATCAGTATCCATGTTCTTCATACTCTTCCCTATACTTTTTAGTTGGCACTGACAAGGAGAATTTCTTTAAAATCAAAGATCCTTAGGGTGGTGATCATTTCCTTTATTTACATGATTTCAATGATAGTTTTGGTCCATGAAAATGCAAAGGAAGAACTCTGCCAACATTCAGCCATCTTGACATCACACTTGGTCAATAACCCATATATAATAGTACAAGTACACAAACCTTTGAGTCTGGATTTGGGATTCCACTTGGTCATCAATACCTATATCCATTTCCATGGGATCACAGCTCTTTCCTAATAGGTACTAAAAATTGGATAATTAAAAAAAAAATCATTCACCAAAGTGAAGATTTCGCTGAGAATGAGGTGAGTAATACAGTGTACTACCATAACCTTATGGCTACAAATTTAATTGAAAGAAATCCTACCATATCATGCCAAATGGCATTGTGTGGTTCCAGAAAATATGCATCCCCCCCACGGAAGACTTTTTGATTTGCACCCCCCACCCCCCAGGATTTTCCATTCCAAGTGGTCTTTGATGACCCCCCCTCCCCCCAGGAATTTCTAGAATTTTAATTGGGGACTTCTTACCACCCTCACAAATTCAAAGTGGTTTTTGTACTTATAAAAAGAGAAAGTGAATACCAAGTTGGTTACATAAATGCAGTATAATTTTATTACAACACTGAAAACATTAAGGTTAACTTTAATAAAAATATATATAACGCTTTGTTAAGCTTATACTTTTAGTTTCTTTGCCATCATTTTGGCAAATCATATCCGTGTTGTTTTTATGCAAGATAATTTATACGCTTAAACATCTGGGTTGCAAAATTTAAACTGATTTAAAACGTCGACTGTTCCACGTACATTTTCGTGCTAACTCCGATGAGAACGTTTCACTCGCTTAAACAACTTTGCAAACGATAGTAAATAAAACAGAAACTTACAAGGTTCCCTTACCTACACATTTTGTCACTTTCTTCAGGTTAACAAAGATTTAGTAATACATAGACAGGTAAAAACGAGTGATATAATATCCCGACGTTTCGGCGACTTCATGATGCCATTATCAAGGGTACAAATGAAAATAAAATTAACAAATGCCAGTTCAAGAGTTACAACTAATTTGCATAGGGGAGGTAGCTACACAAATAATTTAGCACGGATAGAATCAGTTTGCGATAATCAGGCATCGCAGATATGTTGATGACACTCTCACTATAATGCGCAACATTACTACAGCTACGGATTTCTTACACACCCTGAACCACGCCCATCCCTCCCCTTTCTTGGCACCCAGCTCCTAAACCGTGCACCCCAAATTGAGATGAAAGTTTATGTTAAGCCTACTAATACTGGTTTACTTGTCCACTACCACAGTTACGTTGACAACCGGTACAAACGGAACTTATTAACAACTATGCTTGATCGCACGTACTGTTTGTCCTCTTCATGGCTTTATTTTTCTGAGGAGTGTGAGCGCTTGAAGTATTTATTCTCATGTTTGGACTATCCTCACCACCTTATCAACTCCGCCATTAACACCTTCATTAACTCGAGAGTTGCTGACCAGCAGCCATTACAGGCATTGGGAAGATTGGCGAAAAATGATGTAACCCGAGTAGTCATACCCTTCAAGGACCAAGACTCCACTAACATTGTTAAGACGCAGTTGAAAGACCTCAGCATTAAGCTCTAAACCACAATCCAGCCCGTATTTGTCAGACGGAAAATTGGCCAAGACCTTAAAGAATGTGAGACCAAACCACAGCTGGTTAATCAACAGTGTGTAGTGTACCAATTTAAATGTAACCTGTGTGATACAGGGAGCTAGGTTGGTTACACACGCAGCCATTTAAATGCCCGCGTGGATAGCCATAAGAGCACATCATCTTCAGTACGCAAGCACTACGACAAAGACCACCCAGGTGTTGTCCCTGAGGACCTTCTTAGCTGTTTCAAAGTTCTCAAGAAGTGCATGAACAAATTTGATTGTCTTGTCAATGAGATGCTTTACATCAAACAATTAACACCGAGTTTGAACATGCAAACGGATTCTATCCATGCTAAAGTATTTGTGAAGCTACCTCCCCTATGCAAATTAGTTGTAACTCTTGAACTCGCATTTGTTAATTTTATTTTCATTTGTACCCTTGATAATGGCGTCATGAAGTCGCCAAAACATCGGGATATTATATCGCTCGTCTTTACCTGTCTATATATTTCTTCAGGTTGATTCTTATTTAAAGACCGAAAAATTCACTAGCACACACATGTTAACTAGGTTTCGTGAACATCGTCACGATTTACAGTAGCTAGGTAGCCGGGCTTTCTGAAGGTCGAGTAAGAAATGGGAACGAAAGTACTCCAAGACGGCCATTTTTAATCGTTTTTACCCCGGTTGGCCGATCCGTTCCTAGCTTTGAGAGGTTGTAGCGCTAGCTAACTCAAAGAAAAACAGAAAAATTAAAGCTTATGATGTTAAATTTATCTCAATGGCCAAGAGTACTGACTTTTGTTTCAAAACAACGTACGTGAGTACGTTTTTGTGCTTCAGATCAATCTTATGTTGCTTTAAATGTTTTGTACATGGTTCGTTACCCTTTGGAAAGGTAGTTTCCCACAAAACCCCCTACCCCTTGAACCCCCTCCCCCTCAAAATTTCCAATGATCTTCCGTGGGGGGGTATGGATATTTTCTGGGACCACACATTAAGAAGTCATGTGAGAAATACAATGATCAAAACAATTTAAAAAATAAGGAAAAGATCTCAATATCATTCTTCCTTGATCTGATAAAATCAGCAAATAACACGATTTCATAAATTTTAAAATAGCTCCCCTCAAATGGAAAGATTCAGGTTCAGCATTATAATTGTGTAGCACAAAAGTTAAAAGAATCATATCAAAGCATTTCACTTTGATTTTCTGCTGAGGTGGGAGAAATCTTAAAATCAACCTAATCAAAAAGTGCTGCTACCACAGGGTTGACTGCTACAAAAAAAAAATGAAATCTGAAATATGAAGGGATTAGATGTTAGGTCATTGGATACAGCTTAGTTGCCAAAAACATCCTCAAAGTACGTTCTACATTCTTGGCATAATGAACAGTGTATCTTCTATGGCATTCCATTTCCGCCAAAATTCAATGTTCTATTTTACATCGTACTTTCCACAACTCAAAAGGTGGATGATAGGGACAAGAGAATTCCCAGTCGAGTGGACTTGGGAGACCTTTCTCGACTCCCTAGCTGTCGAGGGACAATCATGGCCACCGGTTGGCAAGATATCGATGCTGCTGCGCAATCTGCTAGTTTAGGCAAAGTGAGAGCCACCCTCTTGAGGGTAGCTGAGCGTCTTTCTTCTCTGGAAGAAACACCACCTCCAAGTAAGAATTGGGCAACCTTTGTTAAGTATGAAGAAGTTAGTTTGTTCGTGCACTGATGCAAGTACATGTAGGTCAGCTCCATCTTGATCACTTCATGCGCGCTGTATGCTGGAAGGCATCGATCGTAGAATTAAATATTTTTCCTAAAGCTTTTGCTTGCAATACTCTTATCTTTGTTTATTTTTCTGGTTTTTTTTTACTCAGAGTAAATCACCCATATAGGTGCGTAATTATTATGTCAGAGATTTTTGGCAGTTCAGAAGGTTCTGTCTGAATGATTATTAATTTTGATTATTTTCAGTCTCCTCTCAACCGTCCTGACACTCACCTCAAGAATTTTACAAATGTCACATACTTTAAACCCTTGCTGAAGTAAAAAATGAAGCTGTTCCTCGCTGATTTCGTTGGAAGGTCTGCCTCGTGTCCCTCTATTATGCAGTGGAGCTTGATATGCACAGTTAATATGGTTTCTTTGATCGATTTCTACCAACATCCTGTAAGCATGTCCAATCAATTCTGAGACTAGTTCATCCACGTCAAGACTAACAGCTATTCTTTGCAGAAAATCCAACTTGAAAACTATTGGTTGGAAATCTAAACATGGATCTCCAGATCCCCTAAATCTGTCTATAGCACTGATTATATCCAAGACAGCTGAATTCAAATACGCCTTGTCATCAGACATTTGCTGGATCATATTTTTCAAGATGACACAAATTGATTAAAGTTTAGCAGCACTTGTGAATTTCGGGAAAATGTAAGCTAAAATAGCTGAAGAGATGCAAACGAGTCACAAGCGCCCCACTAAAGAACTCGGCCACCTTCGACCTGATGGCGAAGTCTGGTCTGGTGGGGAGTGGAGAAAGGTCTCCCGAGTCCACTCGACTGGGAATTCTCTCGTCCCTATCGTCCACCTTTTGAGCAGGGGTGGCTCAGGGTGATTGCGCCCACGATCTCCTTCAGTCACTGACCATCGGGTAAAAGTCCAATTCGAAAAGTTGAATATCGAACGCGAAAAATTGCAAGTACAATGCCCAAAGTCGGAGGTCGGAAGCCAAAACTTAAAGGACAAATGATAAATGTTGGATGCGTAAACATGAATGTGGATTCCACTGAACTTGGGAGTCGAATTCGAAAACTACACTGTTGCCTCTAAAAAGTTGAATGTCGAAAGCGATAACTTAAATTTTGCATAAACAAAAGTTGAATGTTGAATGCAATAAAGTTGAATTGCCAGTGCAAACTCGAATGACAAACGCAAAATGTAAAAAATATTGTGGAAAGTACGATGTAAAATAGAACATTGAATTTTGGCGGAAATGGAACGCCATACTCTTCTCTCTAGCTTGAGGTCTTGGCATCTTTGCTGCGTTTAGCAAATGCAAATCTCGATCGACGTTGAAGTTTTCCATTTTATCATCCCTTTTCCAAACGAGCAAGTTTCCAATGTGCGATTACTTCTTAAAGTTATACAACGTGCATATTTGTTCAAACAAAGTACCTACCAAAGATAATTGTCTGTTGACTCGCCAAGGTAAAATTCTGAACTTTGAAGCTCCGAAGCAGACGGCTGCTATTCCTCTCTTGAGACCAAAGGTAGTTTCGTGCTTTATAATGAATTTAAGTACTGCAGAGTTCTCTTGTAACTGCAGCTACATTAGCTCGACTTTTGCCGCCATCAAAGAAGGCATCTCTTAACTCATGCCCAGGGTTTCTCGATTAGTTTAGTTCAAGATCGTGCGCGTTGCAGTTGTGTCTTCCGTTGTGAACGTGTGTTCTGCGTGTCACTTCCCAACTAGGGGTGGGATGCAATGTAAAATTGTAAGAAGGCTCGAAGGTAAGCATATGCATTTGCAAACATTTAGAGGTCACGTGAGATAACAAGCATGCTCTTCCAGCTTAGTGCGAGTTTGACTTCGAGCGCATGACGATGTAATTTCTTGACAGGAATACAAAATTCACTTTTAGCGGAATTACCCGTTTCTCAGAGCCAGTTTTTGGAACTATGGCAGAGAAAGATGTCGACGATCTCTCCTTGGAGTTCGAAGATGAAGGTGACTGCGATTCTCCACAAGATCCAGATGTTTGTGCCCCAGCGAAATCCAAAGGCGCCAAAACGAGTGGCACAGCATCAACTGAAGAAACCTCAACAGCAAAGCAGGTCATTACGTTAACTGAGGCAATCCTGCAATTAACAAAGTCCATGACTGAAAACCCCTCCGTGAGGGAAAAAAGGAAAATTTAAGGTAGTCATGCTACCGAACTTCCCTCTGCAAAAAAGGCCAAAGTGGCTACTAGCCGAGAAAGCTCCATGAGTGAATCGGTGACGAAAATGGCGGGAACAAGCTCCATGAGCAATGATTGAGAAGATTGCGAAGATCTTTTACAGAATATCTTACACTCGACCGATTGTCGGGATGAATTTGGGTCTGGTAATGACAAAAAATCCCCAGAACCTGAAGATGAGCTCCTGAATGAGCTACTCAGGGAGTACAAATCAGATGACGCCACAGGCGACAAGCTAAGAAGTGATCAACTCACTAAGCTCCTAAACAAAATGTTTCGGAGTAAAATTGCTGAGAAAACTTTGAAAGATAAGATGTAAAGGCAACTAAGGCTTGAAAATTGCCTTTAACTGCACCTATACCCAAAAAATGTTTTTTCGCTTAACGAAATAAGCTTATTTTTTGGAGTATTTCTCTGCAAAAATTTCTTAATTTGCTCAAATCTTTAATTTTCTGTGCCCAGTCAAAATACGGAAAATCGGCCACCATCTTGCCCCACAACCGAGTTTAAAGAAGAATGGCTGTAGCGGGTAATGTGACGTCAAATCGAGAACACGAAAGTCTGCATTTCACACATTTTCACTTGTTTGGGAAGGTTGTCGTCGATATTGTCCGAAATATGCCGACTAGGTGTGTTGTATGAGGAATGTATGAAGCGCGATACCTTCTTGCAAATTTCGCACGTTCATACATTCCTCATACAACACACCTAGTCGGCATATTTCGGACAATATCGACGACAACCTTCCCAAACAAGTGAAAATGTGTGAAATGCAGACTTTCGTGTTCTCGATTTGACGTCACATTACCCGCTAGAGCCATTCCTCTTTAAACTCGGTCGTGGGGCAAGATGGCGGCCGATTTTCCGTATTTTGACTGGGCACAGAAAATTGAAGATTTGAGCAAATAAAAGAAATTTTGCACAGAAATACTTCAAAAAATGTGCTTATTTTGTTAAGCGAAAAAAAAATTTTTGGGTTTAGGTGCACTTTAATGTCAAAGCAACCCGAGTAAACGGGGGAATTTGGTGGCATTTAAGAGACTCCACAAAGAAACTTGACGTGTATGTGTTTAAAATGCAGCAGGCCTTGGTGAAGGGAATAATTCCTGTAGCCCGCTTGGCTGATCAACTTATGACAGCCAAAACACTTGATTTAGAGCAAGTACAATCAATGAAAAAGTTGAGCCTAGAGGCACTATCCTTGCTTACCCATGTGAACTACGAGGTTAACATGCAAAGGAGTGTTTTGATGAAACCTGATATTGGAAAAGAATTTTCATCACCTTGCTCACGTCTGGTCCCATTCACAGACTCTTGGTTTGGGGACAACTTACAAAAGCAACTAAAAGATATTGGGGATGAAAATAAAGTTGGAGTGAAATTACACAAGAGCAAATACCCATCCAGCAATGGAGGCTCTTGCGTTGGCGAAGGCACATATAATAACAGGGGATCATTTTGGCCAAAAAACTTATATGCCTGGGGGCAGAGCCACCCCGGGAACAAGAATCACAAAGGGAGTTACCAGAGCCCCAAATGATTTCTCTGGTGAGTACTTGTTTATGTATTGACAGTGAGCCCTTCCAGGCTGGCAGGTTATCTTACTATCTGCCCAAATAGAAAGAAATTACGAGTGATAGTAGAATCCTTGATATAGTCCAGGGCTGTCATATTGAGTTTGATTCTGAGCCTATACAATCTGGGTTTGAAACACAGTTTGTGTACAGTCAGAAGAATTCGCTTATTATTTCGAGTGAAATAACTAAACTCTTTAGAAAGGGAGTCATACATGAGGCAGAAGCATGCCAGGGCCAGTTCCTCTCAACAGTATTTACCAGGCCCAAAAAGGATAACACTTAAAGGATTATTTTAAACCTCTAGAAGCTTAATGACTACATCACATACCACCATTTTAAAATGGAGACCCCGCAGTCTGCCTCACAAATTATGAAATTAGGTTCATATATGGCAGTGCTTGACTTAAAGGATGTGTACTACTCTGTAGCAATTGCAGTTGAGCACAGAAAGTACTTAAGGTTTAACTTTCACGGTACATTATATGAATTCATTTGTTTGCCTAATGGCTTAGCCTCTGCCCCTAGAATGTTTACAAAACTTATGAAGCCTGTGTATGCAACACTGCGGGCTAAAGGTGTGTGCCTAGTGGGTTATATCGATGATATCTTAATTGTTGCTGATACAGCAGCAGAACTTAACACCCATGTTGATGAAACCATCCAATTACTGAAATCCTTAGGTTTTGTATTAAATGACTCCAAATCATGCACTAAGCCTTAAAAGGCAGTCAAATTCCTAGGGTTCATCATCAATTCAGATACTATGTCTGTATCCATGACTCCTGATAAGATCACTAAAGTTAAGGAGGGATGCTTGTTAGTTTTAAATAAGGGTTCTGTCACCATACGGTGAAGAACAGTTGCCTCGCTAATAGGGCTAATGGTATCCAGTTTTCCTGGAGTGTTTTATGGGCCCCTTTTCTACCAAAGTTTAGAGAGAAAAACGGAGGCTCTAAAGATGAATGGGATGAATTTAGAGGCTAAAATGTCCCTGTCGACTTTAGCCAAGCAAGACACAAGTTGGTGGGTCAAAAATGTTGATAAAAACCCCCAGCCTATTACATTACCACCAACTAAACTCACCCTTAGGTGTGACGGCTCACTACAAGGGTGGGGGAGTGTTGTTGAAGGATCAAACAACCCATCGGGGCAGATGGACAGCTTCTGAAGCCTCGTTTCATATAAATTACCTAGAATTGAAAGCTATCCAAATGGGTCTGCGTTCTTTCTGCAGTAATTTACACAACACTCACATTAAGATTCTCTCTGATAACCAAACTGCTGTTGCCTACATGCGCAACATGGGTGGAACATACTCTTCTCTTTGCAATAAAATCACAAGAGAGATTCTCCTTTGGTGTAAGGATAGGAATCTTATTGTTACAATATCCCACTTACCTGGACATTTAAATGTATTAGCTGACAAAGCCAGCAGGGAGTTTAATGATGATGTGGAATGGGCTCTTGACCCAAAATGGTATGAAATGCTAACAAGGAAGTGGGGGACACCTCAGGTTGAAATGTTTGCCTCAAGGTTAAATTATAAAGGAGAGAGATATGTATCTTGGAAACCTGATCCCTCAGCATATGCAGTTGATGCTTTTTCCCTTAACTGGTCCGATTTTGTGTTAATTTACTGTTTTCCCCCATTTAGCCTCATTGGGAAAGTTCTACAAACACTGCAATTGTACCAGACCACAGCAATATTGATATTCCCAAAATGGGAAATGCAGTTTTGGTACCCCGTGTTGCTGAAGATGCTGATAGAACAGCCAGTGATGATACCAGTTCACAAAACCACTTTGACTCAAGCTCACAACTCAAGCAAAGTGCACCCCTTGTATCCAAAGTTGCAACTTCTTGGGTGTCTTGTATCAGGTCAGTGCTTCAAAAACAGGGAATTGGTCAACAAGCTATAGAAATTATGCTCAACTCTTGGAGAAATGGAACTAAGAAACAGTATACTTCAAGTATCTCTCAATGGACATCGGATTGCAAACTACACAATTATAACCCTACAACACCCCCTGTGGCACAGGTTTTGGAGTTTCTTACCCATCAATCCAACCACCTAGGATACAGTGCTATTGGAACAACAAGAAGTGCTCTATCATCCTTTATAACACTTGATGTTGTTAATTTAGGTGACCATCCACTGGTAGAGAGGTTTATGGCAGGGCTTTTCAATAGGAAGCCTGCCCTCCCTCGTTATGTTGAAACTTGGAACCCCCATATTGTTCTTGACTATTTCAAGAGTCTCCCAGAAAATGAAAGTTTGGAATTGAAACAACTGACAATGAAGCTTACTGTTCTGCTTGCCCTTATCTCTGCACAACGTTTACAGACATTAAAAGCCTTATCTCTTGATGGTATGTCAAACACTAAGGATAGTTTTAGTTTTAGACTGCTTGAAGTTCTTAAGCAAACTTCAAGACATGGGGGTAAGAACAGACACTTGGCCCCCATAGTTCTTAAAAAGTACCCACATGACTCAAAGTTATCCCCTGTTAGATTTTTAAAGGAATATCTTACCAGAACAGCGACTCTAAGAACATCCCAACAATTGCTACTTTGTTACAACAAGCCACCTGGACCTGCTTCACGAGACACCATCTGTCGTTGGATAAAACAAACATTAGCCGCATCTGGCGTCAACACTACAGTATTTAAGGCACACAGCTGCCACAGTGCAGCAACATCTGCGGCCAAATTGGCCCGAAGTCCTTATGGAGGATATTCTGGCAGTTGCTGGATGGCGTTCAGACTCTGTTTTTGTTAAATTCTGTAATAAGCCAGTTAAACATGCACACAATGCCTTTGCAGAGGCAGTGCTTGAAAGTTAATTAGTTGCCTGTTTAGCAGTTTCATTGTTTTATTCTCTTGGAAACTCTGTGTTTAAGTCTATATTTGGTTTTACTACTATTGAACACAGCTGTTATTGACTAAGACTGTTGTTATTCAGACTGGAAGTATTAAATTGTGTTGTGACTTTTCCATGTAACTTTGTTATTTGGTGACATGAGCTCTGAAGTTTCACGTGACCTCTGAATGTATGCAAATGTGAGGTAGAATTGTAAAATTAAACGAGACTTACCTGTAAGTTGAAGTTTGATTGAGATTCTACCGTAGCATCTGCAGAAATGAGGAGGTCACACCCACCCTATACTTTACCCACCCTGGATATGTCATCGGGTGGAACACTTGGTCACCAAATAACCTTGTCTTTAAAGCCCGAGCTTGAACCGCATGCTTGCTATCTCACATGACCTCCTCATTTCTGCAAATGCTACGGTAGAATCTCAATCAAACTTGAGCTTACAGGTAAGTCTCGTTTAATTTTACAATTTCACGGGATATCCTTGTTTCACGAGCTATCCTTGATGCTGTTTGGGACACTTCGGATTGGTGAAAGATTAAGATTCTGGTTGCGCTTTTAAGCGCGAAATTTTCTTCGATACGTTGGAAAGCTTAGGAAGACGAGAATTAATTTTGACGTTGCCTTGTGCCTTCCCTTATTAGTTTGGAGTGCGTCGGTGATCGAAGTTGTGCTTTTCTGTCGGAACTAGTAAGGTAAGGTTGCACTTCATGCCAGTATTTTTGTTAAATTTAAGTATTACAACTATTCTTCAAAGATCGCGTCCAAGTTTCGGGCTAAATGCTGTAGATTTCGTGTGGCTGCATGATAAAGTGTCCGAGTAACTACTAACCTGGATTCATTGAGTCCTCAGATCTCGGTGTTTCAATGACCGAAAATTTGTGATTTTCTTCCAGCCTCATTATAATTTTTATTATGTTACATGTAGCAATCTCATAGTGTCTACATTGACGGTTATTATGGATACAATGGAAGACATGTATTCATCAGTTGTATGGCACTATGCAAAAATTCAACCTCCGGTATGGTTGATGTAATTGTTACGGTGGCCAATTTACCACTTCAACTTTGTTGATATATCCAAATCTTTCCAAACCCCTTCGGTAACTTCCCGAAAAAACCTCTCCTTCCCATGATGTTCTCGTTAATAAGTTTTTGTTCAGATTTTAATTAGCTAACCGGAAACACAGCTAAGCTTTCTCTAAGCGCTTGCGGGAGGTCGTCCACGAACTTAGGCCATATTGTGAACGACTTTACTGTAAAGCGAAGATTAGATTTTGGCGCGCACAGAAAGCAGAAAGCTACGTAGGCGAAAGTGCCAGTTGCTCGACATACCTGCATGGCCCGTGCGACGAAATAACTTCACAGGATTGGCAAAGTTTCAGTCACAGCAAATTATGCAAAAAATCTAGAAAGATTTAAGCACAAATCTCATTTAATGTTTAAAGCAACATATCAATGACTGCAACCAGCGTGTTGTATACAAACCTCGCAAACTTTAAAACACGTTCTCTAGTGATACCTGCG